ACAAAAGGTTTCACTCAGCGAGAGGGCATTGATTATGTTGAAACCTTTTCACCTATTTCGTCAAATGATTACTTTCGAATTATTATGGCTCTTGTGGCACACTACGATTTGGAGTTTCATCAAGTGGATGTTAAGACAACATTTTTGAATGGAAATATTTCTGAAATGGTTTACATGAAAAAACCAAAAGTTTTTGTTGTGAAATGAAAAGAAAACTTGGTATGTAAGTAAAACAAATCCTTATATGGTCTCAAATGAGCATCCCGACAGTGGTATCTGAAGTTTGATGAGGTTGTGACCTTCCTTGGTTTTGTTGATCAATGCATTTATCTCAAAAGTAGTGGGAGGAGTTTTATTTTTCTTGTAATGTATAATGATGACATTCTACTTGCTAGTAGTAACTTAAGGTTGCTTCATAAAACAAAGAAAATGTTGTATGCCAATTTTGAGATTAAAGATCTTGGAAAAGCCTCTTATGTGTTTGGCATTGAAATACATTGTGATAGGAATCGTGACTTATCAAGACTTTATCAGAAAGTGTTCTAGAAAGGTTTAATATGCAGAACTGTGCACCTGGCGATGTACCTATCGTAAAAGGAGATAAGTTAAAAAAAACTCAATGTCTAAGGAATGAGCGAGAAAGAGAATCTATGAAAATGATTCCATATGCCAGTACTATGGGGAGCTTGACGTATGCTCAAGTTTGCACTAAATCTGATATAGCCTACTCAATCAGTGTTCTTAGTAGGTTTCAGTAGAATCCAGGATAAGAACATTTGGAAAGCAACTAAGAAAGTTATGAGATATTTGAAGAAAACTAAAGGTTATATGCTTACATTCTCTATTCAAAATCTGATTTTGTTAGATGTCAAGATGATTTGAAATCAACTTTAGGTTATATTTTTATATTGGCTGGTGGTGCTATTTCTTGGAAAATTACTAAATAGACTCTAGTGGCATCTTTTACCATGCAAGCTAAATTTGTGGCATGTTATGGGGTTACAGTCTAAGCCGTTTGGTTAAGAAATTTTATCTCTGGCTTGAAAGTTGTTAATTCCATATCAAGACCTGTCACCATATACTGTGATAACGGTGCAACGGTGTTCTTTTCAAAGAATAATAAAAGTTCTGGTGGGTGAAAACATATTGACATCAAATATTTAGTGGTTAAAGACAGGGTCAAGGAAGGGTAGACGAAAATAAAGCACATTAATAAAGAGGCAATGATTGTAAACTTCTTGATTAAGGGACTCGCTCCAAAAGTCTTTAAGACACTTGTTGCTAATATGGGCATTATGGAAACATTTGATATTTTTAATTAGTGGGAATTATTTATGAACTACATTTTGGGATTGATCCCTCTATAGGGTACGTAGGCAACTCATATGTTTCGGGTACAGCCCCTTTTAATAATAAAATATTTTTTCCCTATCCATAAACTATTTTGAGCATACATTTGACTTATATTTTTTTATTATAGTATTATTATGATTTCGAGATATGACAAATAAAGACATAAGATGAGTCTCTTCAGAGACATGTGGCTTTATTTTGATCGAAAATATTATGAGGACTGATATAAATTAGCACAGTTTTTTTATCACATTTGGTGCTAAGTTTATACCACATACTACCATATTGGTTGGAGGATGGGGATCCATGTTGATAAGGATGTTGGCATTTATAACTGTGGAATGGTCTTACATCGCTTAATTTGTATAATGATTTTCATGTTCGATGTTAATCTTCTTATTGGACTAAATCATGTTACGTAAGGTGTCGTCATTAGAGTTATACTTTTGTGGTCACCTATGTAGTCTAACCCGTGTATTAAAAGTTTTGTTTTAACAATCAAATGTTTGCCCAAATGGAAAAATGTTAGAATAATTTCAAATATGGGCTTCACATTCGATTGTATATTTTACGAGTTAGATGTATGGCTCAAAATGACATTATGATTAGGCTAATTATATTAAGTGATCAATTTGAGCCATTTTACACCTTACAGGCTTTATTTGATATAATGTGATAATTTCGAGTATGTGGGCAGGAATTATGCGTAAACCCTAATTAGGATTTAAGTTGATAACGGAACGACTAAATAAATTCTTATATAAAGGCTAGATTCTCTCTCCTCTCCATATGGTTTTATTAGTTTGCCCCATTGATGGCCAACAATTTTGAGAAGTAAGGAAAGGAAGATCTAACTACTATTATTCATATCAACGATGACTTTCGCATGTATGAATTCAATTTATTAATTCATTATATTGTGATTCTTGATTCTTAACATAATTACAAATAAGTTTCAACAATAAGATCTCAAAACTGCAATGCTTGGTCTACAATGTTTGTAGACAATACGTCACGTGACATGTTATCGTTAAATAGTTTAAAGAACTGTCGATTTTTTCAACCAACAATTTTTTGACACATCAATATTATCATAAAACATTGTACAATTAGCATAATTGAATAGTGAAACAATGCCCATAAGAAGCCATTTCTTTAAAATATTACAACAATACTTGGCGTATAAGGATTATGACAACAATGTCGACAACATGAATTCTTGGACAGTTCAAAAAACAACTCATTTTTTCAACCCACACATTTTTGTCACAACCAACATTGTCAACAATTTTATACAAAAGCATTGTAAAATAGATTAATTTAAAATATTATTGCTACTATTACTACTGTGATTCCTTATTTCTTGGACACTTTTGCTTCGTTATATATATATATATAAGACTCATATTGACTTATTCAGTTTGTTGTCTATGTTATCCATTGAGAGGGAAGCTTTCTATGGTAATAGAAAAGTCAACGAAATACGTAAAGAAATGTGCATCGCTCAAGCCTACTTCATATTGAAGGGAAATAAGCGGACATAAACAATTCTATATTAGCAAATTGCTCCTTTATTGCAAATTTTACTAGTAATTTTGAATTCCATAAAATGATAAATATCAAATGTGAAATGGTCCTATCAAAGTAATGTTTTCTTTTTATATAAATTGAATAATATCATCCCAAAAGAGAACCTCGACAAAAAAAGAATCCATATGGGCATATGGCCAACATTTCTTCTTGCCCAAGTAGTTAAACATTGGGTCCCAAAATCCGGAAATAAAAAAAATGGAAAAAGAAATCTATCATGCCTCCTCTTTTTGCAGTGAATAAAATCCAAAATAAAGGGATATGCAGGGTCCAAGGCCATCTTACCTCAACTAGGCTTGCCGGCAAAAAGTGAAAAAGCTAGATTTTGGGTATAGGAGCGTATCTTATTCCTATCCAAACAAGGCTGAGCAATGGAGAGTTCGAAGTCTCAAATTGGACAAATGCCAGCCATGGTAGTGGATACAAAAAGTTAGCTTAAAATTGATTTCCAGCCTCCAATGGACGGGATAAAAAATTCCCACCGATAACGTAACAAGAAAATATTAATTATGAATTTACGGTGAGAAGTTTTCAGTCTGCCCCCTGGAGTCATGAGATCATGATTGATAGTTAGCTTAGCCAAACACACTCTTAAACATCCATTATCAGTTACAGTTCTAGTAATCAACTTCTAAACATGATATTCACTCGTATGTTCACAAAATATCATGTGTAATTATTAATATTTACTTGCTACTATCTCATGTATCTCTCTCCCCCGTGGGCAGTGAAAAACGTTTGAAAAGAGGAGTTGGGTTTCGAAGGCTTGATCTATTTCGCTATATTTTGAAAGACAAGACCATACTTCTGTACATTACTTGAGTTTTCTCCCACATATAACAGAGAAAAAATCGTGTTGCTCAACCAAAAACTTAACAAGAAGACATGGATTAGTCGAGGGGCGCTCTTCCAAGTTGAAAAAAATGGAGCCGAAGACAAGTTGTTATGCTAAGTCAACGCTCTTGCACATCTTTGCATCTATTATAAAATTCACAATTGTTGATATTAATAGCTTCACTAAGTTTGACGAATATGTTTAACTTAACCTGTAACACTTCAACCACCTTAGGATGCAATAATTTTTCAAATCAACTTCATCATTTGGACATTACAATCATTATAACTAGCTAGTCTTTTCACGACAAAATGACTTGTGTTTGGTATTGACTCTTTGAATGAGCCAAGTAAATTTTTTACCATACCATATAATCAAATAACCTTTACAAATAACTATTACCCAGGTAAAAATGGAAGAATGGGTTAGAACCTTCCGACGTTAAAAAAAAATGTTTATAACCCTAAGGTCAACTCTAGATAAGAGAAAATCGAAAATACCTATATTATGTTGATAATCTAACAACATAATACCAAGTATAGAAATAATCAAACCAAACTTGTCCAATGTTCCGATTTAAAGTCTGAATCTTGAAAGCAATATGGAATATAATTTTGTATGCAAGAATAATTCCAAAAACAAGAATTTAGCTGTCACAGACTTCAGATACAACTTTAATTTGATGTAGAATATATTCCCCTTTCATAGAACCACATTCTACCCTAACCAAGAAAGTCTCCCTAAGAGAGAAATCCAGCCTCTTACACAACAAATAAATAAAGACCAGACCAGATGTTATTAAAAAAGAAAAAGACATATAACACGCGTTCTAAACACATGCTTTAAATAGGCTATAGGCTATCAAAACTCTCCCTAGATTCATCATAAAACCATAAATAGTTTAGCTCTAAAGTTAGCAAGCAAGATGGACTGTTTTACCATGTTACAAATATAGTAGAACAACACTAAAGATACGAACTCAACACCAAAAGTTGAATTATTACTGCAAGATAAGGATTCTAATTGAGGTAAATTCAAGATCCTCAATCACAATATCTATCCAATTCAAGATAATATCAACTTTTAGTAATTGACAAGCATAAAAACCCAATCATGAAGGTAATTTCTAAGAAAAGAATTCCTTTTTCTGGTTAAACATTATGATCAAAGACAAGTATCGATTGATTGTGGAGGTAAAAGCATGTGAATCCAAGATCCTCCCTTAATCACAATAACTATCCAATTCAAGATAATATCAACTTTTGAGTAATTGACAAGCATAAAAACCCAATCATGAAGGTAATTTCTAAGAAAAGAATTCCTTTTTCTGGTTAAACATTATTATCGAAGACAAGTATTTGATTGATTGTGAACCTCCCCAATTTTTTCTCCTAAATATCAAAATCCCATTAAAATTACATAATCCAACCAGGCAAAAAAGGTAAAATCCCAAAACTAAGCAACAATCAAGAAGAGGAAAAGTGGGGTGGAGGAGGAGGAGGTAATAACTGATGAGATTGAGGGACCTGATTGCTAGCAATGGAGTTACTGCTTGGAGGGGCATACTGCAGAATGAACGGATGCTTCAAAAGCCTCCCTGCGGTCCATCTTTTTGCAGGATCCCTTTGAAGACAGCACGAAATGAAATTCCTAAATTCCCATGAAGCTGTAGCAGGGGCTTCGGGAGGATCCGACATACAAATTGCACACATAAGGCTTGCCCAATCTCCTCCTCTACTAACAGCAAATGGAAATCTGCCCAAGTAAAATTCAAGAATGCTTACTCCCAAGCTCCATATATCCCCAGCATACCCATCATATTTTCCATGATTCAGATCTGTGTTGATCCTTTCTGGGCTCATGTAAGCTATGGTGCCCACTGATGAATTGCAAGCATCCATTGTCTGATCCAAAATCCGGGATACCCCAAAATCCGCAATTTTAACAGTTCTCCTTGAATTTATCAGAAAATTGGAGGGTTTGATGTCGCGATGAACGACTTTGCGCTTGTGGAGGTAGGAAAGGCCTGAGAGAATTTGGCGGGTGAGATCAGATAAAGAGGGTTCATGTGGGATGTGAATGTTTTCGAGAGAACCCTTGTCAACGTATTCAAGTAGGACTTGAATTTCTCCATTGTGATCATACATGTTGTAGCATTTAACCACGTTTGGATTGTCTACTCCCCGGAGGATCTCGATTTCCCGGCAGATCTGGTGGCGCACAGACTCGTCATGGGTGCCGTGGATTACCTTGAGGGCGTAAATTTTTCCAGTAGGGAGATGGCGGACCTTGTAGACAGTGCCACCACTGCCGCTACCGATGCGGTTGATCCGCTCAAGCTCGGCGAACGAAGTCGGGGTGGAGGCCGGAGCGGAAGTCGGGGGAAGAGGAAGAGGAAGAGGAAGAGGCACAGCTCGATCTGGGACGCGTTGTGGCAACGGGAGGCTGAGGTCGGAGCGGCGGCGAGGGCGGGCTGAGGAGGAAGAGGCGGCGCCGGAGGCTGGTGGTGGTTGAAGCGGTTTCATGATTGATACAAAAAAGGACAAAACAAAGCACAAAAACTACTCCGAAAACGCTAAAACTACACAGAATAATTTATAAGAATTTCTGGTAATTTTCTGAAAATCACAAATCTAAAATTGATCATCAGGGTTTTGGAGCATGATGACTAATTGGCCACTTCATTTTGTAACCAAATAACTCCAAGGAAGAAGAAATTTCGTCCAACCCAAGAGAAAAAAAAAACAAGGAGATGAAGGTTCTTGGAAGTGTAAAAAGGGAAGAAAAATCGTAGAGTGGAGGAAGGAGGGGCCAAGTCCAATATGCAAACAAGAAATCTTAAATATATATTGCATAGAGAGTGATAGAGAGGGAATTGTATGTATACTTTAGTCTCCGTTTGCCCCATTATTTTTTATTATATTAAATTAAAATTTTTTCTTTCCTACTTTTATTCATACAATTTTTAATAAAATAATATTATATATAAATCAAAAATTTTTCAACCACTTATTTTTCAAAAAAATATTATTCATCTCATTATAATCTATAAATAATGGGGCTCAAACAGTCCCTTAGCCTTCGTTTATGCCCATTAAATTAATTTTTCACGTAAATTAAATTTTATTTTTCTCTATTCTATTTTCAATTACAAAATTTTTATAAATCGAAAAAAAAATTCTTCTTATTTCAACCACTCATTTAAAAAAAAAAAAAATCTAT